TGGGCGCCTGCTCCAGGCACTCTGCGTTTAACGACGGCTAGGGATCGAAGGCGGCGTCTTTGGTGGACGAGGCAAAGTTGCTTTTCTGTTCCGTCTTGATTGGGGTGACAACGGCGCAGAACCCACCTCGCGCTGGACGCCAGTTACTGGGCCATCGAGACCGCGTCCAAATACTTGGGCGCTGCCCGCCAGAGGCTCGCTCAGAAGAGTGAAAAGGACCTCGTCGCCGGGGGCGGCGACGCGCGGGCGGGCGCGGAAACCGACGAGACGGCGTTTCGCGGGTCGCTGTCAGACGACGAGACAATTCAATAATGACAGCAGCGGGTTGGCTTCGCTGAGCGCGGGCGCTCGCGGAGCGCGGCATGGCGGCGCGCCGGCGGCGACCAGGCCGTCGCGAGGTCGCCGGGCCCGCGGCCATCAGCAGATCGGGCTCGGAGTTGTTTTTGCTCTACCGCCTGCAGCGCTAGATAGACGCCCCCCCTTCGGACGGCGCCGGGAGCTACGGGATTCGCGCGGAGGGGGCCCTGCGCGACGCGGTCGCGCACGCGCGGAAACGCGAGGCAATTGGCGGCCAGCGGGCGCGGCCGAGGCCGACGTTCTCCGAGCTGGCGCGCCGCGCGCCGTCGGGGGGCGGCCCCGCCCGGCGAAGGGCGGCGCGCAGATCGCGGGCAGAGGCAGCCTGCGATCAGAGAGCTTGCGCCAGCCAAGATGGGGCGCAAGGCCAAGCTGGAGCCGGCGCCCCGCGCGCCGATCAAGGCGGCCCCGCGGACGCGGCCACCAAGGAGGAGCCCGCCGGCGACCTGGCCGATCCGGCTGGCCCGGCACGTCCGCGCCCGCGCGCGGCAGGGCGAATCCCGCGAGGCGCTTGGGCGCGAGCCCCAGCGAGGCCGCGTGCGCGGCCGAGAGCGCGATCAAGCGGGAAGCGTTCCAAGGGGCGCCCGCGGGCGAGCGGGCGAGGAAGGAGATCTTCCCAGGCTCGAAGGGCTGGGAGGCAGCAGTCTGGCGGCGTTCGCGGGGTGGGCCCGCCCGCTTGTTGACCGGGGGGCGCATGCGAAGTGGCCCTCTTTATGCCGCGAGCATGGCCAGTCCTGTGGTCGCGGCGAACGGGCGGTCCCGCTGGCACCCCTTGCCGCCGCATTTCTGAGCCGCCCCCAGGCGTCGCGGCGATTGATTCGGATTTGGATTGGGGCGGCTGCCGCGCGGGTAAGGCGCTGCAGATGAGTCTAGCAACGGGTCGCGGGCGAATTCGCTTGGGGGGGGCATGCGACAGCTCGCGGTTTCTAATGTCGCTGGGGGGGGGGTCGCCCTTGGCAGACGTTGCGTGAATGTCGTGCCTGCGGCGCGGGTGGGCATCGCATGCTGTCCGCGCATCTCTTCCTTATCGCGCATACTTTGGGCGCAGAGTCGTCGCGCGCTTGTTTGCAGGCCCGGGGCAATTGAGTGCGAGGTCTGAGACCGAGTGCCCGCTTTAGGTTCCGCATGGCAGTTCAACGCGTTCCCAGGGCCCCGCAGTTCTGGCGGCGGGGGGAGGGAGAGTGTAGAGGACGGCGCAGCCGTGCAACGGAGCGCGGTTTGAATGCGCCCCCCCCACCGCAGGTTTCCCGCTGTTTGCCGCTCGCGTGTGCCGCGGCTACCTCGTGCACATGCTGGCCACGGGGGGCTACTGGCCGTTGTCCGGGGAGTGCGTCCTCGGCGCCGCCAGCCCGACCCTGATTCAGCGTTACCCGCCATCCACGCTGATTGGGACGAGGGCTTCGGCAAGGTCGTCGGCATGGCCTTCGGCGTGGATGAGGGCGGCGACGATTGCGGCAGCGATGAGTGCTTCGACGAGGGCGACGGAAGCTCCGGCGATTACAGCGGGACTGAATCCATTGAGTGCCCGTCGGGCGAAGACACGTTGCACCACTTCGACCGCGTCGACGACGCCGAGCGGGTTGAGGGCGACGAGGACGCCGACGCGGGTGGGCCCAGCTACTTCGACGATGTCGAGTGGGTTGCGGCGACGAGGACGCCGACGTGGATGGACCCAGGTCCTTTCGCGATGTCGAGTGGGTTTCAAGTGATGATTCCTACGCGGTCGACGGGCTTTGAGGGGGGGGGCGCTCTTGCGCGCGCGCGATCGCCACGCGCGCGCAGCCGCGCAGAGTGGCAATCAGCCGCTGCTACGTTCTCAGGTTGCTTTGTTAGACGCGCGACAGCGCGTGGCCACGAGGCGCTGTCATAATCCAAGTTTCCCCAGGTGTGGTGTGACAAGAGCAACCAAACCCTGCTGCGATTCCAAATGTCCAAGATTGTCATTGAACGTAGCCACCAAACACAGCTATCAGCTAAGCAGTCTAAGACTTGCCAGTTTTCTGAACCATCCAAGGCAGGCCAGACATGTTGCTAAAGTATTATGCATCCCATATTGCGTAGATGGTAGAAGCGTTCGGCGGTTACTTGCGTTAGGAATTTAAGAAATCCAGGGTTATAGCAGTTTTGTTGTCGTGGCTGCTTTCATTCAAAATCTAAGACACCTTAAAGCATAGCAGTGTCTCGTGGCCATGCGCCTGCTGATGTCTTAGGAACGTCCCTGGGATCTCTAAGCACAGACGCGTTTTTTTGTTTGTGGCGCACGCCTGGAGAAATTAAGAACGCTGAAACGGCAATGGTGGGTGGAACTGGAAATGTATATCAGGAGGTGCTGACCATATACGTGTATCACTATACGGGTAGATGTTGATGCCCACACCAGCAGATGTGTCGAAATATGTACATGTTGGCTTCATTGTATTGCGATTGGTCCTGCTATCAAGCAATGAGTCGCCCACCGGGACAACCATAGGCAAAATCATCAAGACAAGCATTGGGGTGATCACGAAACACCCATAGGGGCGACAATCGGGACAACCATCGGGACAACCATTGGGACAACCATTGGGACAACCATCGGGACAACCACGGCGCAATAATCAGGACAACCATCGGGACAACCACGACACAATTATCGGGACAACCGTAGGGACAACCACGGGTTGGTTTCGGGAAAACCAAGTGCCAAAATTCGCCACTTGGGTGGAGGGGCGCGTTTTGCTCCAACTCCGCCTTATCAGCGGCAGGATCACTCCTTTTCGCCCGCGTACGCAGCTTCGTTTCGCGTTTCGCCCGCACGCATTGCACGAACACGACAACGATACAGTGTTCCCGGTGGGGGGGGGACGCTTCAGTTCGATGTGATTTCCCCCACGCACCTCCAATGTTCAAGCGGTTTGTTGCTCTTCCCGAGTTTATCTCAGCACGGTCTCTTTCTCACCAGCGAGCCATTATTCCGCACGTTCCCCAGATCATCTTCCAGTACGAATCATCACGTTACTCGTTGTATTCCTATTGCCGACACCGCCCCCCAAATATATCCTTTTTTTTCCGTGTTGCATGCTACGTTTGACGCCCGGCCAATGTGCCAGACGCCGTTTGCCGATCTGCGGAAGCCGCCGAGGTGTGAGCAAGTCCGCATTCTCGTCTAGCAGAAAACGCAGCTTTCCCAGAGGCTGTTCAGCAGGCGGTGGACAGGGCAAAGACGAGCGCTCGAGCCATGGCCCGTGGAGCGTAGGGTCGCCCAGCGTAGGTTGCCCAGGTGATATCCGCCGCTAGCGTTGGTGCAGCGATTGGCCATCAGCGCATGCGCTCCACGTGCCAGGTTCCAGAAAGGGCCTCGAATTTGAGGGGCGGAAAGAACAAACTGGCCCCCGAGAAATCGACAACGTGTTTGAATCCAGGGTGTCTGGAGCTGGCCACGTAGCGAAAGGCTTCTGTTGTCAAGCCCACGCAGTTCGCGTTGACGCGCGGCTCACGGACAGCCGAAGAATGGAAGAGCCAAGAGCAGGCTGCGGATATGCCAGCTCATGAAACAGAAGCGCTGCGATGTAGCGCGGTTGGTGCTGGTGCGGCCAGGCAGCGGTGGGACGTGCATTATGATTTGCCTGAGGCATTGTCCTCCTCTCCCTCAAAATCGTGTCCTTGCTGCTGCTGCTGCTGCTGTTGCTGCTGTTGTGGCGATGTGATCACCTGTGCAAGAAGAGCGCACCGGCGATCCACTATTGGGACGCTGGCTCGGTAGCGGAGGAAGCGAGCACCGCAGTGGCTCGCCCCAGCAGGACGGCAATCCGTTGCCGCCAATCGCGGGGCGGCGACCATGCACAGCCCGTGCCACGGAGATGATTCTGATGGCGGGTGAGGCTTGCCATATGCTGCAGCAGGCACGTCGGCTGCGGCCCGTGCCGTCCGCCGAACTCGAGCGCAAGGCCTTGCACGCTGGTGCCGCCTCGAGCTCCATATCTCTTTACTTTCGCAGCCTCGACAGCGCTCGCGCCAGCACCGGCGGTCGCCAAATGGCCGCGGCAGCAGCGTGTGCGGACGATGGTGAAGTCACCGTGGAAAGCTGGGAGCGTGCAGTGGCCCCAGAGCTGGATGCCCACGCGCGGCTCACACATGGTTGCAGTGGCCAGCTCTGGAAGCACGACCTCGCGTGTGGCTGGGAGGCCGGTTGTGCGAGCGCACGTCGCGAGCTCTTGGCAGATTCCATCGTGCAGACGAATGTGGGCTCCACCGCGATTATGCAAAAGCATCGCGTGATTTCCAAGCCCGTCGAGTGCGCGGCCACAGACCCGGCCAGCACGCGTGCGGTGCTGGCAGAAGCATGCAACGCCGAAGAGCGGAAGCCGGAGACGCCGGCTGCTGCTGCTGCTGCTGCTGCTGCTGCTGCTGTTGCTGCTGCTGCTGCTGCTGCTGCTGCTCCCCATCCATTCCTCATGCCGCTGTCTGACGATCACGGTTGCTGTTGATGTTCCGGCTGCTGCTGCTGCTCTTGCTGCTGCTGCTGCTGCTGCTGCTGCTGCTGCTTCGCCCCATCCATTCCTCATGCCGTTGTCTGACGATCACGGTTGCTGTTGATGTTCCGGCTGTTGCTGCTGCTGCTGCTGCTGCTGCTGCTCTTCCTCCTTGGCGGCCACCTCTCTTTTCAGGAGGAGCTGGAGCGCGTCGTGCAGATCCTCCTCCGGAGAAGGAGACGCGGGCACAGAGCGGGCTGGGAAGAGGCTAGCGACGACGAAGTGACGACGAGGGTGGGAGGCATACAGTGGAAACCCATGCCGAAAAACACCCTGCTTGCCTCCAGGATGCCCTGGGTTCCGGTGGTTTTGCGAGGGAAAGCGTGACGCTCCCACGCCAAAAATCAATGGCGTGGGGTCTCAGGGTTGGGTTTATTCTGGAAGGTTTCTTGTGGTCGGTCCCCTACTGTAGGACCACCTCACCCCCGAGAGGAAACAACAGAGGACAGAGCTGGTCATGCGGCGGAGTCGTGACCGAAGGTTGCCCGCTGGTTGCCCACGGCGCCTGAGGATTCAAAGTCTCTGGCGGCAGGATCCGAGAGGTCCTGTGGGGCGCCGCAGGGAAGGAGCCGAGGGAGGGGCTCGGCGGCGTTCCAGCAGTTCGAGGGAGAGGGAGGGCCAGAAGTGAGGAGCAGGAGGAGGAGGAGGAGGAGGAGGAGGAGCAGCAGCAGCAGCAGGAGGCGCAGGAGCATGAGGAAGGAGCAGAAGGAGCAGCAGCAGGAGGAGCGGCATGGGCCCGAGGCCGAGAGGGGTTTCGGGGAGGTCCAGCAGGTCCGAGAGCGCTTCTGCGGCGGCGAGGGCCGCGCTCTCCCAGGCGTCCCGGCCTGGGCCCAGGCGCTGCCATCACCTCAGTCCCTCCGGGGCGGCCGCGCGCGTCGCGCATCGCGCGCCGCGCCTCGCGGGGCGCGATCCGCGCAGTTTCGGCAGCTTCCTGCCGTGTCGACGCGGCTTTGCCTGCCTCCTTCTCCTCCTCCTCCGCCTCCTCCGCTCCTCCTCCTCCTTCTCCTCCTCCTCCTCCTCGCGTGTCGCGCGTCTTCGGTCGTGTCGCGTCCCCGTCCCCCCGTCGTGTCGTGTCGTCGTGCCGGCGCGAGCGCGCCGCGGGCTCCCGAGCGGGAGTACGACGCCGTGAGCTGAGGCCGCTGGCCCACCCCGCCTCGGACAGTTTTGCCTGCGCGGGGTGCCGAGACCAGGGGCACTCCCTCACGGGCGTGTGCACGCGAGTTTAAAACTCCTCCTCCTCCTCCTCCTCCTCCGCCTCTCCGCGCAGCCCCGCATCCGCCGCCTCCTACTCCCCATCCTTCCTCCTCTCCCGCCTTCCTCCTCCTCCTCCTCCTCCTCCTTCTCCTCGCCCTCCCCCTCCTCCTCATCCTCCTACTCATCCTCCTCATCCTCATCCGCCTCCTCCTTCTCCTCATCTTCCTCCGTCTCCTCCTCTCCCTCCGTCCCTCCTCCTCTTCCTCACCTTCCCTTTCCTCCTCGGGCGTTCAAGGTTGAATGCCGCCATTGCTCCAGAGTGGATGGTTCCAGGTGGATGGATGAACGCGGAGCCAGATCCCACCGCCAGGGAATTACGGCGCGAATGTGCCGTAGGTGGCCCAGTCAAGCTCGAGGGAACGAGGGAATCTAGTTGCGCTGCCGCGCGAAATATCGCCACTGCGCTCGGGCGGGTGCCTGGTAGAGTTTGGTTCGATATAATGTCACGGGGGTCTAGTATGCCGTCGGAATTTTGTCTTTAGAGTGCATGATCGTATGTTGCCGTCGAGCAAACGATGAGGAAACGCAGATTGTTCGTCGAATTAGCGTCGATTGACGTCGATTGGCGTTGGTCAGCGTCGATTCGCAAGAGCCAGCACGATGCCATTGGAGGCCCCCACGAGCTGCCACAGAATGCTGGAGGGAGCTTTGGGGGTGAGGCGGGAGGGAGCTTTGGGGGTGGGTCGAGGAAAGGCACACGTGGATTCAGCCACCGGGATTGGCGACGGGCCCCGCGTCCATGCGACGTCGGCGCGCTCGGCCGCCACGGGACGCGGCCTCGGCCCCAAGAGCGTGGGGGCGCATTCCCCGATCCGTGGATCTGGCGCCCACGCGGCAGACCCACGGATCCGTGCTCCGAGCTTCTCAATAAGCGTCGGGGGGGGGGCGTCACCCCCGCCGGCAGCCCCGCATCGACCCCCGTCGCGGGCAGCCGCCGCGCGCCGAAGGCGCTCCGAGCCCCGTCCTGGCGCGACGACGAGGCGAGGTTGACCCCCGTCGGGGGGGTACCCCCCGTCGGCGAGGTTGACCCCGCGTGTGAAGTAACCCAGGGTATTCTATGTGACCGTGCGCCGGACAGGGGGGAGACGGGCGCCACAGAGCGTTTCGCCCAGACCGTCCTTCCCAGACCGCGTGTCGCCTGGAAGGCCGAAGGCGCCAGGGGCATGGCCAAACAGGCGCGCGCGCCAGTCGGGCTCGATGCGTGTGGGGGGGGGTGGCCCTGACCACGGCTTCGCAAAAGGCGACAGTGACGAAACAAAGAAATGCCCGACTCATACACGCACGCACACACACAGTCCCAACCACATACAGACACACACACAAACGCACACACACACACACACACACACACACGCGCGCGCACACACACACATGCACACACGCACACACGCACACTCGCACGCACGCACGCACGCACGCACACACACACACACACACACACATACACAAGCACACGCGCGCGCACACACGCGCACACACACACACACACGCACACACAAACACACACATACACTCACTCACGCACACAATTTTCGGCGTCGCGGCGATTCTCGCGGCGACGCGGCGGAGTCGGTCAGCTAGAAACCCCGAGAGTGTCGCCGAGGCTTCGGAAGATCGGCCAGGTGCGCACGCAGCCCAAGCGAGGATGCAGTACACACACACACACACCGACCGCTGTGAGCGCGATGCCGTTCGAAGCCGGTCACGGCCGCAGGTTTCACGGCTCAGGCCTTGACGCAGTGCAGTGGCGTCGGATGCGGCGCCCGTGTGGCGAGTTTGAGGGGTTGTGCGCGGGCAGCAAGGCCCAGCGGTCGCGCAGGGGTCGGCGAGGCATGTCGGCTTGGCAGGCCGAGGCTGCGACAACGGTAGGCCGGCAGCTTCTCCGTGGCCCGCCTTCTCGCCTGCGGCTCGATCGGCCATTGGGTGTGTAAGGGCCACGCGGCTCGCCAGGTTCAGGACCTGGCGAGTCGCAGATGGGAGCGAGTGTCAGATCAGCGTCACGGAGCATCCCCCCGACGGGTCACGTTCAGAAGTGCGTAGTCCCAGAGAAGTCGGGGCGATGCGTGAGGGACCACGACCACGCTCTAGAGGGTTAGCATCTGACGTGCTGATGCACATTAGTTGATGGCAAGTCGTCCTCGCTGAAGCGGCCACGCGATTCGTGGATCGATTTTGAGTCGGATAGCATGGGCACTTGAACATTTTGGGATCGGAAGATGTGGGATGGAAGTTTCAGAATTCGGCATCGCGTTTCGTGAATCCTCCCACGCGCGCCACAATACGCAGTTGCCGAATAGCTCATGCCGTACATGTTGTTTGCCCGCTACGCTTAGAAGTCTCCTCTCTCATCTTGATCCTCCCCCCCCCGCCCACCTCCCCGGTCTTCGAGCCGAATTCACCAGATGCAGGCGGGTGTTGGATGAATTCCCGATCGATTCTCATATTGTTGGGGACGATGTGGACGGCGTTTTTGGAGAGCGCGTTGGTTTGGGCCAGATTTGCTACCAAGAATGGGCCAATGCCCGTCATGTCCCCCGCCAGAGAAAGGCTCATACTTACCTATACGACCACCCTGTGGGTGATAAGGAGGTTAGGGGGGGAGGGGGGCCAGCAATGGGCAACAGTGGTGATTGATGCGTTGCCGCTCGCTCTTGGGACCATCGATCCCACGATCGATCTCACTCGATCGATCTCACTATCGATCTCACTCGATCGATGTCACTGTCGATATCACTCTGGATCTCGCTATCGATCCCACTATCGATCTCCCGTATTGGTATCACTCGATGCCACAATCGATATCACTATTCATCTCACTATCGATCTCATCATCGATCTCACGATCGATCTCACTATCGGTCTCACTATCGATCTCACTATCGATCTCACAATCGATTTCGTCATCTGTCTCACTATCGTTTTCGCACCAGCGGGACACCGGGACGCCGGCGGGACACCGACGGGACACCGCGGGCCACCGCTTGCCAGAGGGAGAATCATTTGGTCCGGCCGGGACCCAGCCACAAGCGGGACACCGGCGGGACACCGGCGGAATACCGCGGGCCACCGCTTGCCCGAGGGAGAATCATTTGGTCCGGCCGCGCCTCAGCCACATGACTTTCCTCTCGCCCGCCCACGCAGCTTCGCCTCGCACGCACGGCACGCACGAACACGAAACCGAAACCGATTTCCCGGTGCGGGGCTCTCCGTTCCACTTCGATCTCACCCGCCACCCTCCGATCTTCACCCTCATCCTCATCCTCAAGCCCTTGGGGGGGCGACGGGGAGGAAGAGGAGAGCGGAAGAGGCAGGAGGAAGAGAGGGAGGGAGGGAGAGAAAGAGAGAGAGAGAGAGGGAGGACAAGCAGAAGAGGGAGGGAGATCGGAGCGGATCGGATCGGAGTGAAGGCTCACCGTCAGCCTATGCAGCAGCGCATGCTTGAAACGCGCAAAGCGCAGCACTCGTGCAAGAGAAAGCCGGCGGGCGAGCGCCCCCGACCCAGGCAGGTGAGATGAAGAACGATGTTGATGTTGATGATGACGATGATGATGACGGTGATGATGGTGATGATGACGATGATGATGGTGATGATGATGATGATGATGATGACGGTGATGATGCTGATGGTGTTCATGATGATGATGCTCGTTATGATGCTGATGCTGTTGATGATGAGGAGGAGGATGATGATGATGGTGGTGATGATGTTGTTGAGGAAGGTGCAGCATCACACCCGGGACAGATGGCGAACACTGCGGCGAGTAAAAGGCCCTCCCCGAGCCAAGCAGGGCGAGGAGGCACGGGAGGGTCGAAGGCCCGAGAGGGCGTGCGCCAATCACCCAGGAGTAGGAGGAGGAGGAGGAGGAGGAGGAGGAGGAGGACGAGGAGGAGGAGGAGGACGAGGAGGAGGAGGAGGAGGACGAG